CGGACAAGTTGTCTTCCCTGCTGAGCAGATACTTCTTGACTTGCTTCATTTGCTGTAGCTCCAGGAGCTCTGCTTCCAGCTCCTTGATGCGCAGTTTGCAGCTCTCCATCTCGCACACCCGCTGCTCGAGGTCCGAGTACTCCTGGATAACCGAGGTGTACTCTCGCTCAACCCTCTCCTTCCGCTGCTTCTCCTGGTTGACCTGGGACCGTAAGGAGTCCACCATGGCTTGGAGACGCTCGTTCTCCCGCTCCAGTGGCTTCTGGTTGAACTCTGTTGAAGAACTGTGGACCTGGAATGCGTCTTCATACCTGGAAGAGAAGAAAGACCCCTGAGAGATTGTGACCAAATGACAGTCCGTGGAGGACTCAGACTGTGGCTTACTGCCATGTAAGTAATTCTGCCCGGAGTTGCTGAGCTGATGGAGGGAGCTGTGCCTCCTCCCGTGGGACAGGAAACCCCAAGGTTTGGTGGCTCTGCCTGACACAGCAACCTGTCTCTGTCCTGGAGGACCTGCAGTCTCTGCTGTCCTGTGCCTGGGAGGTGCTCCAGGGAGAGGGGGAGAAGATTTGCAAAATGGGGGAGGCAGAAGGAGATGCCTGATGGAGCTGCCTCTTCATTGCTCCCCACCTGGGAAGCAATAGCATGCATTTCCCCCTTCCCTCATGCTGCTGTCGGGAAATCATTTTTTCCTCCTCAGTGAAGCGCCGGTGGCATCCCATCTAGTTAGAACAGATTGGAAAAAGGAAAGCTCTATGGCTTCCCCTGCGAGGCATGGCTGGTGGCGGGGGTATTGAACAGATTCCCAAGTTACTGAAGGGCAGAGTGACCTTCAGAGCTGACTGCAGATTGGCAAGGCACAGCACCGTCCTGAGGCACTGGGGGACAGCGCCACTGGGGGACCGTGGGGAGAGAAGCACAGAGACATTAAGTGGATTCTGCTGGGGGTTAGGTTATGCCCTCATTACATCCCCGGCTGCAGTAAAAGTGTCTTTTGTTTGTACCCTCTGGCAGTGGATACTTTCTGTGAAAAAAAAAATTAAAAAAAAGTTTATTGATTGCTTATCTATTTAAAGAAGCCTCTATTACGGACAAAGCTGAGCAAGAAATGCCCTCACGGTGTCAGTGAATTAGCACAGGGGCTGGGTTTTAAGGAGGATCGAGTGTTCAATAGTGCTGAATTTGTGCAGCGTTTGGCACTGCGTGGCATGCCATGGTCTGGGACTGGGGGCTGCTGGAGTTACTGGGGTCAGACAGTGCAAAACCACAGCACCTCCACTGCTTTCAGCGGGGCAGAGATGCTGGAGGGATGCAGCACGGGATGTGCTGGTGGGGAGGGGACGCGGCATGGTCAGCTTGAGCAAAGGGTCTCCTTCATGTGGTGTGGGACTGGGCAGGCTGGGCTGGGCTGGGGGAGGCTGATTTGGGCTGTCCCAGCTTGAACACTGCATCCTGCCTGGCGAGGAGCCCTCTTAGGCCCCTGCTGCCATTCCAGGAGAACGCCAGCCCCTCCAGGGGACTCTGATTCAGAGCCTGGCTCCCTGTGGGGTTATTTGTGTTTGTTTTTTGTATGTCAGAGGGGCTAATCCACCGCTGACAGGTAGAGGAGCTGAGAAGGCTGGAGGCATGGCTCAGTCCCCCCTGCCCCTCTGTACCTGGGGCTGGAGCACAGCTCCTTCAGGCAGGGGAAGGTGTGGATGGTTCGGCGCCGCTCCCTCTTCTCCCGCCGGATGCGCAGCTGCTCCAAGCTCCGCATCTCCTCCACCTGCTTCTGCAGCTCCTCCACCTGGTTCTGCAGCCCCTCGATCGTTTCCGTCAAGCTGCAGACAGAGGAGAGAGCACAGGTGAGGAGGTGGGCACTGTGGCCACAGGTCTTTTGAAAGTATTTTATTTTTTCTTCCCCATAGAGGAAGTTGGCCTGTGTAAAGTAATCCACATTTCTAGTGTGTGCCCTGGGAGCGTGACGGTGCTTGCTTTTGGTGGCAGGGGCTGCTCTCTGTGTGGTCTATCTTGGATTATACATTTTTATTTTTATTTTTTTGGAAAAGGGGAGGGATTGAAGCATTGTCAATGGATAGCACAGGTTTGAGACCCTCTGACCTCAAATCTCTTGGCTAAAACAGTCACCTCTGGGACGTGAGCGCTGTCCTGGAATATCTCTGCACTTAAGCAGGCAGGCGAGCAGTTTACTCTTCCTCTTTTATCTGTTGTAGCAATAAACGCTGGGCACAGATTTTTTTCTGTCTGTGAACCCAGTTTGTAAAACCACTTCAGCACTCCCCCTCTGCTCTGAAACTCCCTCTCCGCAGTTGTTGGCAAAAGATGCCGCAGCGCAAGGACGCGGCTTAGCCTGTTGTTTCCAGGGATGACCTTGATCACGGGCCTGCTGCATGAGAGGAGTTATCGACAGGCTGGGCTTTCGCTAGATGCTGGCTCTGTGCCTAGTGTGCCTGCTGGGCTGCGTGCTCAGGACCTCCCTGATAGCATTATGTGCCTCTTAGTCAGGGGGATTCACCCTCTGAGGAGGAACGGCTGCCGTGCCTCCCTTCTGGCAGCTCCAGGCACGTTTCTCCACCCAGCCCTGTCCCAGGGCTGCCCGTGCTGGGGCTGACCTGTGCTACCCAGCATCGGCACGGCCGGTGAGAGACTGGTTGGATAGCAAGAACATGCTGCAGGGGGATGGTGGGCTGAGGGGAAAGGTGGGCTGAGGGACCCCCAGGCACAGCATCGCCAGGGTGAGGAGCAGGGGAGGCCGTACCACTGGATCTTCTGTTGGGACGTCTTGCTTTCTAGCACAAGCTTCTGGTTCGCCAGCTCCAGGTCCCGCGCGGTCAGGTCCAGCTGCTCGTAGACCTTCGCGTGCTGCTCGTTCATCTGCCGCAGCATCTCCAGCTGCTTGGTCAGGTACTGCAGGAAAAGCCGAGACAAAAAACACCCCTCATCCCAAAGCCAGGTTGTTTCATGGGCAGAAATTCCTATATCCTTAGCTTCCTGTGACATTGTGTCTTGTGGCTGCTTTATCCTTTACCTGATTGAAGCCTCGTCCAGTAGAGGTATTCACGCTACCCCCTGCCCACTGTAAATGTTTGTGTCTAAAATATATCTGAACTTCTCCTGCCCTCTGTGAAGGGCACTGACCTCGGTCTGTCTCTCCTCAGCTGCTTTTTTAATCCCCCATACCCCAAGAAAGTTGATCTCCCTGTGACCGTGCCCCTTTGTCAAGGCTGACTGAACTTGGCCTGGTGGTTACTGCATCACCTGACAGATCAATCGCGGAGGCTGCGTTTCTGTAGGAATTCAGGCTAAAAAACCTGAATCTGCGAAACGCGAGGAGAGCTGTGGCTTCTGCTCGGCCACAGACCCCTCCCTGCCTGCCTCCGTGCCAGTCTGGAGGGTTTCATCCTGTGCAGCCTGGCAGAGGGGCATCAGCTGGGATCAGACCCCAAATCTGGGGGTGCAGCGCTGTGGTGCACAGCCAAAATCCTTCTCCTTTCTCCTCACAGCCACCATGTGCTGCTCCTGTGAGCTCCCAGCATGTCTCTGCCTTGTGCCTCTTTAAATCAATGCTTTTCAAGCTTTTTTTTTTTAATTTTATTTATTTATTTATTTAATTCACAGACCCCTGGAAGCCTTCCAGCAGATGAAACCCCTCCTGGCACAGCAAGTTTAAGTCTCTGAGCTTGGTGCTGACCCCAAAGGGTGCCTGAAACAGCAGTGGGGATTGCAGCTCTTTGAGAAGGAGCCAGTTTGTGCCTCTGACAAAGGGCGCTGTGTTACAGGGTGCTGAGGGGCTGGCCGAGAACAAACACCATTGTGAGTGCCTGGAAGCCAGGAAAAGCAGCAGCAGAGCATGGAGAAAGGAGCGTGAAGGCGGGTGGGTGGGCTGGGAGAAGTCACACATGCCCCAGCTGCGATCGGTGCTGGTGCCAAAATCTGGCACGCACGTCTGGGCAGGGGGGCGAGAGGGGGAAAATAGCAATCTGGGGGGATAGGGGTACCTCTCCAGGGCTGGGATCAGCTCAAGCAGACCTTAATCCACCCCATTTCAGGCACGTATGGAAGGGACGTCAGCTCCCACCCTCTGCTTTTGGCATCACCCTGAGGTGCCAGCAGTGACCCAGCTGCTCCTGTCCCCCCGTCCTGGCCCGGCCCCATCCCTACCTCGATCTCCTGCACTTGCTCCTCGTTGGTGGCGTACATCTGCTGCAGGGAGTCCTCCAGCTCTTTGTTGCGCTCCAGCAGCGTCTTCCCCAGCTCCGCGGCCAAGTGCAGGTCTGGAAACAGAAGGGACAAAGCCGCTGCGGTTCCTGCGGCCGCACCGAGCACAGCGACCTGCTTCGTGCCGGGCTGCTCTTACCAGCGGGTTTTGACATGGATGTATGCTTATGGGACGTCCAGGATCTGCCCTATTTCCTCTTTTAGGGCTATAAGAGCAAGGGGAAGCTGAGCTGGATGAGGATTTGGTGCTATCCTGCGTGCTGCCAGCCAGGATCAGGCCCACGAGGCCTGTCTGAGGCTGCAGCTCGGCACCCCCATCCCCATCTCCTGAGGGGCTGAGAGGGGCTCAGCATCCATCGGGATGACAGTGAGGGTTGGTAAAGCCTTGTGGGGCCTCTGGGGATGCTCAGTAAATCGTATTATTATCCGTAACGAAGGGAGGGTCTTGCCTTCCCTGTCAGCCCCCATCCATCACCCGCTAACAGACTGACACCGAGGGCTGACAGCTCCTCCTGCGCCGCGGCCTCGGGGGGCTCCGCCGCTTTCCTCGGGGCAGCTCCGGGGGGGCCCACGCTTTGTGCTCCCTCGCTGCCAGCTCTAAACACCTTTGGGAGGCTGCTGAGATCGTTGGGTGTTAGGAGAAGGACAGGGAAAATAGCCACTGAAAATACCGAGTTTGAAGTCTCTGGGGTAAAGAAGCCCCCCCCCAGAACCCCTGTGCTGGCCAAAGCTCGAGCTCCTCAGGTGATGCTGTTTGTGGGCCTGTGGTAGCACAGCTGGCTCTGATAACGTCCCTTTGCTTTCACAGGAATTGGCTGTCTTTTTAAAGCCTGACCTCCTGCAATTGTGTGGGTTTTCATTTTTTCCCGGTGCTTTTAGAGAGGAGTGCCTAGCTCGCCTGGTGGCAGGTCGAGGCTCTGACCTTAAGCCTTCAAAATAAAAAGGTAAGGAAACAGATAGCAGCGTGTGCTATTACCCTTCTATCTCTGCTGTGGTTATCAGACAGATTTGGGGTGAATGAGGACCAGCAGTCCTGTGGTGTGTGAAGGGACCTGGGTGTCCTGCCCTGGCATTTTCGCAGCCCTTTACAGCGCTCCTCTCTAGCCTGCAGTTAATGATGTGTTTTACCAAGGCTCTGCTGGGGCTGGGAGCACTGCAATTTCTTCCCGCAGTTAATTTGGCTATGCAGTTGATTGGAAAATGGTGATAACTTGTCAGAAGGACAAGAAGAAGGGGAACCAGGCCCCCTGGGATGTATCCTGTGCCTGGGAAAATTGCTGATTTCAGATGTCTCATCATAAACCAAGGCTAACACCGACTTTCCAGACACAATTGTTTGCATGGGAGGAGAACTGGGAGTGCCTCGGATGCGATCCTCCTGACAGATAATGATACATCGTGGGAAGCACCGTTACGTTATTAATTTGGGTGACAGCTGCTTTGCTGTCTGTGCAGCCCCTGCGATGCCAGGGGCCGGCTCCCCAGCTGTGGTCCTTGCCAGCAGCTGCTCCGTGTCCTCGGATCTCCCCTTTACCCTGGGAATAGGCACTGCAGGGTGTCACTGCGGGATGTCACCTTCATCCTCATCACACAGCGACCTGGTCTGAGGGCTGTGAGTGCCATCAGTGTCCCCACAGACAGATCCTTCACCTCTTTTTTTTCTTAAGCACCAAATTTCTCCAGTTTCCAAAGTGTCCTTGAGGGACTGAGTGTTTGCTGCACCAGCTGGGGACCGGGGGAACAGCCAAGCTCCAGCAGAGACGGAGGAGAATTTGTGCCTTTAAGCTGCTTGGGGCTGCATTTAATGGCACTGCCACCTTGCCAGAGCTGGTGTCCTTGCTACGCGGGCACGTTGCAAATCACACTCGTCCTGCCTGATCTTGGCAGCAAGGAGGGCCCAGCGCAGAGGAGAGGGCTTCAGGTAATGAGTCAAGTGTGTCCCCATCCCCGCGGATTACCCCAGTGCTCTCCCACCATATGGCATCCAATTTAATCAGCTGGGGTTGAGTTAAGTGGATTAGGCAGTGCAAGATCCGGCATTGTAATTTAAAGGGCTCTGTCAGCAATAATTTAATGGGGGAAATGGGCAGCGTTTGGGGACGAGTGGGAAAGAAGAAAGAACGGGGCTGAGCTCCGAGGAGGAAATTGATTCTTCTTTTCCATTTTGAGCTTAAGGGCCTGGGAGACTCCGGGCTTGAAGGACGTGGGGGAATTGGTTCTTTCAGCCGTCAGCATGCACACGCTCCCTGCCTGCCAGCTAAAGCATCCTCTGTAATCCTGTCTCGTCGCCCCCCCCCACCATGCCTGGGTCCTCTTCCCCACCTGTTGGTCTCCCCCAGGCTGTGGGAGCACGCAGAGGGAGGGGATGCTGCATGGAGGTGCTTTAATGTCTTCGTTAGAGCAGGTTCATCTCGATCTTGGTGCTAATCACAGCTCTCCTCAGGCTTGGGTAGCGCACAGCTCCGCTCCTTGGAGACCTCAGGAACCTGAGGCTGGACGTGAATTTATCAGCGGGCTGTTTGGGAATTTAAGGATTCTCTCTACACAGCGCTGTGGCTTCCTCACTCTTTTTTGTTTGTTTGTTTTGTTGTTTTGTAATTCGTCTTTGCTCCTCCAGCACCAGCCCAGCCAGCCAGCACTGTGTGATGTGCCCTAATTTAGCAGTTTTGCTGATGCCTCCCTTTCCCCCCCCTTCTCCATTGCAGAAGGAAAAACAAAGCATTGGGGCATGGCTGTGCTGGGGGCTTTCCCCACAAAACAGCCAACTTTCAGCTTAAAAACAGTGCCTTTAGGGATCCCAAATGGGTGGGCTGCCTAAATCCAGCTTGGGAGATGCAGACCACAGATGCTAACTGTCCTGGGCGATACCAGCTCCGTGTCCTGTGGCTCTGCATAGTGCTGTGAGCCCTGCTGTGACCCATCTAATTAACAGTGTGACCCCTCTAATTAACACAGCTGAGGAGACCCCCTGTGTCCCCAGACAAAGAGCTGAGCCTGTGGAGCAAAGCAGAGGCAGGGAGGCTGTATTTCCCTGGGAAAGGAGCCTCAGCAAGGAGGGAGGGAGACCAGATGGCAGAGATGCTGGGATGCTGATCCCATCGTAGCCATGTTGGCTTAGCATCACTGGGTGATCACCCCCAAAAAATCCTGATCCCAAAACCTGCAGCAGGTTGTCTTTAGCTGAACGGAAAGCTGCATCCCATGGTGATGAGCTGCGGAGCTGAATGCGTCCTGGCTGCCCCAGGTGCCCCGGCAGCTCGCATCAAGGCACGGAGAAGGTTTGGAGCTCTTCCTGTGCTCCTGGTGCTGTGACCCAGCAGCTATTCAGTGTCCTGCTAAATACAGCTTTTGGGAGGAAGGCACCATCTGGAGCAGCCACTTAGGGCTTTCTTCTCTCCCACATCAAACAATTTGGGTATTTTGGCTGTGAGAAAGCACGCCCGCTGCCCCCAGGTGCTGTGGTTTGTTCCTTGTCTTTAACCATCCTCTGGGCTTTCGGTGCCTTGGATGGGCCAGGTCTGATCTGTGTCCTCAGGAAATGCTCATGTCTGGGGATTTTCAGCGGGCACTGAAGGGCTGGTACAGTTACAGGGGGTTTGTCCCTGGGTAGAGCTGGCGGTGACAGAGTCCCTCGAGACAAGCAGACTTTAAGGGGGGTGTCGCAGGTCCTTTGGCTCACGGCGTGCAGGGCTGCGTGGAGGCTGTGTTTGGAAGTCCTTCTTATCTCAATATCCATTGAGGTTCCTTCCTGAATGGCTTGCAGGGCAGGAGCAGCCCTTTCTACCTCTGCAGATGGCAAATTCACCTGCTAAATAGCGGGGAGGAGCAGCCTGCAGGGCTCTGGTGTGGGGGTCTCTGGAGGAAGTTCAGGGTGCTTGTTAGCTGATGGATGGGGTAGGTTGAGAGTTAAGAACTGATGTTTAATGCTGTTGACGTTTAATTTAATTGCATTTGCTGTCTGCTCCATTACACACGGGTACTTAGAGTCAAGGGTAGGTGCAATTATTCCTTTCAAAATCTAAATAAATGATGCTGTGCTGGTTTACCCCAGGGTAGGGTGCGCTTGCTGCTCATTTATTTTTCTTAGTTGCAAGGGACTGTGCTGTCTGGGTGCATTACGATGAAGATCAGCTTTTGTGTATCACTTACTGCTGCTCCACGACAGGTGATGGAGCGAATCTGTGCTTAGCCCTTACAAGCCTTTGCAGTGGAACATGCTGGGGTGCAGAGGAAGCAAGTGTCCTCACTCAGCATCTTGCAGACATGTGGATGTGGCAAATCCATGTCTACACGCTGATTCCCCAGCTGGAAGTGTTTCCCATGGCCAAGCAGAGCTTTCAGAGCGAGCCACCGCTGTTATTGCTGACAAAACTCAGACATTACCACCCAAATCAGCTTAGCACTCCATGTGGTGTGGTTTTTGTGCTGCCATTTAGGTGTAATCGGGTGAACTGCAAAGCAAGCCCTGCCTCTGCAGTGCGCTGAGGGTGAGAGGTGCCCCTGGCAGGGCTGGCAAGGGGTGAGGGCGAAGCACAGCCACGTCCTCCCTCTTCCCTTCCCCATTTCAAACTGGGCTGGTGCTGGGCACGCGGGCATTTCTGTTATCCTAATGAGATTTGCTGTTTTGCCTTCTTGCTTTTGTTCTTTCTTTTCTTTCCCTTTTTTTTTTCTTGTGTAATCTGTTCCGTACCCATGGGCTGCCTTTGGCCATGCAAGCAGCCCTGGTGGTGGCAGAGAGATCTGGTTGGCAGGGGAGCGAGGCAAGAGCAACAAGAGCAGCTCCCTCCACGCTGCCCCTAAGGCTCTCATCCCTGGAGCAGAAGTGCCACCACCAAGGACAGGAAAACCCTGATAGTGGAACGAGGGCAGCGAGCCCACCTGCTCCCCGTGAGCCACTCTCCCTACCCTGGGCAAGGAAAGGGGTCGGGGTTGTGCTTCAGGGAGGCTCTCCAGCTTTCTCAGCCCCTGCACTTGCTCTTTGCCCTCTGTGCTTTTCAATCCTGTTCAGTATTTCATTCATATCAGCTCTCCTTTTTTTTTTTTAATTCTTCTCAAGTGGCCAGCAGGCATTTTTGGTTTAATTGATGCTCTCCTTTTCTTTCTGCTCTCTGTCCGTCAGTGCCCTGAAGTCTCTCTGGGTGGGACCATATATTAATATTTGAGCCCTGGGTTGGTTGCCTCTGCTTATAAGCTGCATGCGTCTATACAAACCCATACGGAGCCGTCCCATCCCCGTGCCTGCAGCAATCAACGTTCATTTTGCTGTGTTGTTAGAGCCTGATAACACCGAGTGTGTTATTAGACCATGGTCGGGCCCCATCTGTGTCTTTCCCTGCTGCTCTCTTATCTAAACAGCCTCGTTGCCTCTGTTTGCCTTGTAGGCTGAAATGGTTTCAAAGAGCTCACTGTCGGGTGGCTCGGAGGCTCTGATAGCGCACCTGGATCAGAAAAGCATCTTAAATAAAGACATACGAGAGGAGTTGTTGGGGAGAAGCAGCAAGGAAAGGAGAGAGAAAGGAAGCTGATGCTTTCCTGCAGGCAGCCTTCCTCCAGGCAGCGAAGCTCTAGCTAATTAATTATGTGGGGATGCAGAGAGCCGTGAACGGAGGCTTGCACTCTTTTAAAGCTGAAGACCCAGATGTGGACCGCTGCCCCGTGGGACTGTCCCCAGCAGATTTGGGGGGCAGGAGGTTGTCACCGAGCCAGGACAGGCAGCGAGGACCAGCACTGGGGAGGCTCAGCATCTCCCCCGCTGCTTCCCCACTGTATGGGGTGAGCACGAGAAGAGCCCCGAGCAAAGGCAACCTGCAAAGGACAGGTCAGCGCGCTGGAGCAGAAGGGAATGGTGCTTCCAGCAGTGCAATGGCACCACCCCAGCAATGTCACCTCTCCGGTCCTTGCTGGGCTCACACCAATTATTCCCCTCTGCTCAGCTATTGCTGACCAGCTCGGCTGCCCCCGCTGTCCCCTTGCTGGTGGCAGGACCATGGATCCTGAGCAGTTTGGTCCCTGGGGGAGCGACCAAGTTTCAGCACAGCTGCTGCAGCCCCCACAACTCCCATCTGCTGCTTCTCACGTGCCAGCAGCATGTAGGTACGGGGACAATCCCTCTTCCACAGATGTGGTTACAGCTAAACACAGAAAACAGCCCGACCTCCTGCAGCAGCCCCAGAAACCTGCTGGCCCCTTCTCCAGCAGCCCCTCTGCTTGGCCATGGAGGAGCGCGTGGTCTCACGTGGTGCTGCCCCAGTCCTGCTCCCTTCCCATCCCTGGGGGATGCCGTGAAGCCCTGTTGCTCCAGGTGCTGTGGTTATGCCCGGTGCTGCTGTTTGGTGCCAGCTGGAGGTGCTGGCCCGCACGGCAAGAGCTCCTGAACGCAGCCGAGCGATCGGTGCTGTGTATGGAGCGAGGCAGGAGGAACAGGGCGCTGTAGCCTTTCAGCCTGAGGTTACAAGGAAACAGGGATCAAATCCTGTTTGTTTTCTTGAGTTGATTTTATCCATGGCCATCACCAGCCCTGACTGCAGTGGATACGAAGAGGATGTAGGATGGTGCCTCCTCCAGGAGCTCCGCTCCACATCCAGCATCCCAAAGCAGCGCTGCCTCGAGGTCTGGTGCTCTGGGGATGTGCTGTGCTGCTCTTTGCTCTGCCTCCTCCTGCCCAGAGCAGCTCCTGGCCACCTCTTCCCTTCTCAGCACTTCCTTGTGGGCCAAGAAGATGGCACGATAACATCCTAGTTCTATCGTTGTGGCTGCATGATGGGGAGAAGTCAGCGTGGACCTGGACACTCCATGCTCTAATAGCCAAAATCTTCAGGCGGGGACAAGGTAACTGAGCAGCACCAGGGCAGCTGCACTGCGCACTGGATAAACTGGAGTAACTTCCCAAAGGACTGCAAAGGAACACGCTGTTTAGGCCAGCAAAAGAACCGTCACCGTTTGGAGAGAAGGCTTACAGCTGTTTGTCAAACACACATGGAAGAGAAAACCAAAACCTAATATAAATCACTTAAATTCCCAGCTGTGCAAAGACCAGCAGTTGCATAACATCTGCTCTCATTCCTCTGGGGTATTTTGTACCGGAGGCATTTTGCTTGGCCCACACATCTGATTTTTCTTGGCCTGTGCATCTGTTTTTGAGCATGGTCCGCAGTAGCTTTGGAAGCCCTGATGGTGCATCTGGTGTGAGCACACAGGGATCTTTTAGAGCCGTGTGAGGTGGGAATATATCCCCGTGCTGCTTGGGGAAGGCCTTTTAGCAGAGGAGACCGGCCGTGTGAGGGTGAGCTGTGCTCAGCCTGAGCCCTGGTGCTGCTTTTAGCAGAGGCAGGATGGGCCCCTCGTGCTGTCCCGGCTCTCCGTGGCTCCTGCCTGTCGCGCTGACTCCGTGCCCTGGCACTGGCCAGCACGGGCTGGTACGGAAGAGAAGAATGGAAAATGCATGGGTGGTGGGGGACAGCCTCCAGGGCAGGGCGTCTGTGCTCAGTTCTTGGGCTCTGAGTCCTCAGGATCAGGGCTGCCACGGGCAGGATGGCCCTCAGGGCTCGGGCTGTAAATCCTTCGTGTGCAGCTGCTCAGCTGGTGGGTTGAGGAGGGGAGATACAGAAAACTGATTTTTATTATTCCCCCCTGCTCCCCTTTGCCTCTCCTTGCTTCTTACCCAGCAGTTCCTCTAACTCTGCTCCCTCCCACAGCTGGAAGTATGTGCCTGGGGTTCAGCAGGCGTAGAAAGGAGTTTTTGTGCGAGATGAGGAGGCAGATCCTGGGAGTTACTGTGTGGGACTCCCTTACGCCTCGTTTCCTTGCCTTCTTCACATAAGGACAATTCTTATTCTAGGACACGTGTATATATTTCCTAGAATAATATATATATGTATGTATTTTTTCCCTAGAACTGGAGGTGCTCATCCCTTCCTCATCTAAAAGACTAAAATAAGCGTCATCCTATTCCCTGGTGATTTCCTGGTTCCTCTGAACATTTCCAAGCAGCTCAGCAATTAGTCACTGAAAACTTTCCACTTCCACAAGCTACCTGGGGCAGTGCAGTGCTAAATAAGTGTGCGGCTCAGCTACTGCAGGCAAAATTGACTGCTGGAGGGCAGGCAGGCTGCTCCCCAGAGCTGGGCTGCTGGGATAACAGCAGCACGAGGGATGGATTTTGGGGTGCCACGTGCTCCCCAATGCAAGGAGCTGTTTTGGGCATGCAGGGTGTGAATTGCAGCTGCGTGGACTGCCCCGTGTAGGCTGGGCGATGCAGAAAAGAGGCAGGGATGGCTGCTAGCACCGATCCCGCTGCTCACTGGCCTGCTGCTGACCCTGGGGCTTCACGCGGATGAGTTAGGAGAGGTGCAAGCTCAGCACCTTCTGTCATTTTCCTTCTTAGCGTGCAAGCACTCAGGTGTTTGTCAGGAGGAGGAATTAAAATAAGATACTTAAGTCTGGAGACCTTTAGAGGTTACAGTCATAAGGTCCTTTGCATGCAGTGCAGGGGGTTTGGCCCAAAAGGTTCTGTGGCTGCTCGGGGAGAGGCCTGCTGGTCCCAGTGGTGATGGGGTGATGCTGGTTCTCGTCCTGCCTCTGGCCCTGCTGGCTAACCCACTGAGCTGTGTTCAGGCTCCTGGGGCTGAAAGGGGGGTGTTGGGAGCCCTCCTCTTGGGCTCTTTGGCATAGACCTGGATGCTGGCAGAGGGATAGGAGCCTGGAAGAGCAGGGAAAGCAGCGGGGTGACTGCGGGAAGGACTCGTCCTAGGAGATTGCTGGGGGGGGAAATCAAGGCTGGAGGAGGTCAGCAGCCAGCTGCTGGGGCTGGCTCTGCCCCGTGTGGATCCAGATGTGACTGAGCTGCCACATGGCCGTTCTCAACGCAAATGCTTCTGGTGGACAGAAACGGTGTCCCCGCCTGTCCGCAGCTCAGCCTCTCTAATTTTAGCTTTTTTTCATTCTCTCGGGGTCTGGCTGCACGTATATCCTGTGCACAGGGTATGATGCAAGCGTAGCCACATCAATTCCCCATGGCTGGAGAAAAGCTCACCGCTGCTGTAACCTGTTTTAGTACTTAGAGACACGGATCCCACAGATCCCCCAGGCCTTTCCCCAACCTGGGCAAGGTGAGGCTGTGGCTGAACCAAAGTACTGAGGCTAGCAAGCAATGCAAGCTCAGTTTTTATAGCTTTCTTTCTTTTTTTCTCAGAGGACACCACTACTCTTTCCTGGACGTTGCTGATCTTGCTGCCTCCAAGGTGGATGCGGTCACTGTGGGCACTTCGGGGTGGGGAGAAAGAGGGCCTGGGATTTGTTGTCCTGGATAAAATGAGTTATTTCAGCAAGCCAAAGCTGTGTGGAGGATGGGGAGGAAAGTAACAGGTGCTCAGAGTGGAGCTGAAGGCACATTTTTCTCCGTGGTGCTAAAATGGTTAATTAACATAATCATCACAGAGCTCCCAGTTAAGCCATCCGTTGCTTAGCAAACAGTTTGGGATGTAAATGTAGTAAATATTTGATGATGCCGTGAGATGACGATAAAGGCCCAGCAACCAACTGGTTCGCAGCAGCACCTTCTCCTCTCCCCTAGCTCGGGCTGCTGCTCGTTTCTCCCTCCCCTTGCTCCCAAGCACCAGTCTCCAGGCTTACGCTTTTGTCATCTGTCTTTCTGGCTGCTGCCAGGCACGGGTTTCTGCACAACCCCTGGCTGTTGGCATGCTGATCCTCTTAGCAATGCCGGCCCAGCTCCTAAGCAGGCTGTGCTGGATGTCTCGCGCTCTGCTTCCACCCCCCAGTTTCCCAAGTGACAGCTTCAGGGCTGTGCCATCCCCAAAGGCCTCCGCGTGCTGCTATGGCATACGTGGACAAAGTCTAGCACTGTCCTTCGTGATGCTTTGTGCATCATGCAAATTAATTACGGTTGTAATTACCCCGTAGGACCTTTCCAGTTGGCTGATTCCAGTTAAAGCATTCTCCATCTCTCCTTCTGAGTTAGCACAAGCCCCTATTCTTACAGGGGGCAGCCAGCCCCGCAGCTGGGCTTTGTTTTGGGTCTGTTTTTGCCTCCAGTCCTGGGTGTGCTCAAAGGTGGAGTCTATTCCCAGCATCAGTCCATCATCTGGAGCTGGTTACGCTGTGTTTGGACTGCCAGGACGGAGCAGGGAGCCTGGCCTGCAGCAGAGAGGTGTTCTTATTGCCGGGAGCCAGTGCTGACTCACGAACCTGACAGCGGGGACAGCGTGGGGCTGAAAACCACAGTCCTGTGTTGTTGGATACTCCCGATACTCATTTGTAGTTCTGCTGTTCCTCAGCCGACATCCTGCCCCTGGAGCGCTGCCCAGTCCCCTTGTGAGCCATGGGAAGACGTCACCCAGAAATGTGAATTTCTGAGGCCTCAAAGGCTGCACTGTTTACCCGGCTGACAGCTCCAGCTCCATCCCCTGCCCCACTTTAATATCACCGTTGTGTTCCACAGAACAAGGCCCAGCAGCCAGCTACTAATGCTTCCTGTCCACTGAGAAACTGGGGCTAAAAAAACAACAAAAAAACAGCTGCAACATCCCCGGGGGCTGGTTAGCGTTCCCTGCCAGGCCTCTGTCCTGCAGCTGAAGTTGTGTAAACTTTAAATCCTGACATAATGGACGGGGAGCGACGGTGGGCAGAGGCACTGCAGCTGGACTGCATGCCTGGACTGACAGTCAGCTGGCTCAAGCAAACGTGGAGCTGTAAGGTCCCTATAGCGTGACACATCAGAGGGGTGGCTGTATTTGGGTCCAAAAATTTTTCCCTACACGTTGACAAATCAGTTCCGTTTATTCCTGGGCTGCTGCTCTGGAACAGGACTTCATTCGGTTATTTGCTTGCCGCGTGTTGACTCAAAATATTAAGATAAGCATTAAAAAAAAAAAAAAGCCCCAAATATACACAGCTACTAACTGGCCAGCCTTACAATAGACATGACATAGAACTAGTGCAAATGTAGGAACAGTTACTTCAAAACAAGCTACAAGAGTGAATGCTTACATTTCTCTAACAAACCCATTTTTGCTGTTTGAACCTTGGCATTCATTTTTTCTCTCCTCCCCAATTTTCCCTGCTTTTATGGCTGATCGGAGAAATCTCCAGAAGTAATAAGGTGACTTAGAAGCTGAAGATCCCCTCGGGCTCAGGCTTGGACAACGAGAGCTTTTGGGAAAGGCTTTCAGCATCCTCAGCTTAGCAATGCATTATTTCGGATTTACCCCTTTCTAACTAGCGCGCCTGCTAACTCTGCCTGCGACTGCTCGGAGATGAAAGCGACATCAGAACTCTGTCCATGTTGTGTTCCGCCCGCAGCAAGTTTTCTGGGGTACCGCTTTGCCATAACACCCCAATTTCACCCGCCTGGTGCTGAGGACAGATCTGAGCTCCCTGCCTCTCCTTCTCTGCTTTCAACTTTCCCTGGCCAGGACAGCAGCCGGGAGCAGCAGATCTGCGATTTCCATGGAGGTGCTGCCGCAGGACGAGGCGCTGGGTTTGCCAAGCAAGCGTAAGTCTTGCGAGAAGCTCTCCCATCCCCTCCCCGGGATTTACCCCGTTATTTTTTTTATTTTTGCCCTCCTGTCCCTCGCAGCCTGCTGGCTGCCCCCAGCATCCTTACCCTGCTCCAGGTCCTGCTGGTCGTACCAGGGCTCCTCTTCCTCGCTCTGAAACTCCTCCATCCTGTCGGCGCTCAGCATTTAGCACCCGGGGAGCTCGAGCAGCATCCGCGGACGGGGAGACCCCGCCGCAGCCCCCCAAAACCGCGGAGAAGGGTCGGAGGCAGGGATGGAGGCAGGGATAGAGGATGAAGGATGGAGGCAAGGATGCGGCCTCGGTGCCCGGCCCGGGAAAGGGTGGCACGACGTGGCAGCCGGCTCCTGGCCGCTGTCCCCTCTCTGCCTGCCCCGGGGGGAGGCTTCCTCCAGCCTCCGAGGCCGGGGGAGGCTCCGGGAGGGGGGGATTAGACGGGGACGTGGCTGCCGGGCCGGGGGGGGAAGGCTTGCACGGGGCCGGGGGATGCACAAAGGAAGGAAGAGGGCCCGGCGCAGCCAGGCAGATCCTCTCTCCGCAGCTCGGTGGAGACCTCTAGCATGGAAATGCTGCAAGGAAACCCGGCGACAGGGAAGGGGGAGGCGAGGCCGGGCTTCCTCCTCCTCCTCCTCCTCCTCCTCCTCCTCCTCCCGCCCAGCCCAGCCGCACGGTGCCTCCCCTCCAGGCAGGGAGGAGGGTGGCAGCTCTGCAGCTCCCCTTCTTTTTGTAATGCCCTGGCCACGGGCTTCTCGGTGGCTTTGGGGGAGTCCCCAGCTTCATCTCCGGTGACCTGCTCTGTCTTGGTTGCCTTGGATGCGTTGCTCTTCAAGGCGGTGGTGGAGGGTGAGGGTGAGAGGCAGAATCCCCTATAAACAGCCCCATAGCATCACCGTAGCCTCGCGTCTTCTTGTCCTCCAAGTTCTCTGTTCAGCACCGTGGTGGGAAATTGGTGCTGGTATGGGCTTCTCTCTTATTCTTGAAGGCAAAGGCATGCTTTTCTGAAGGGTGGGAAGAGCTTAAAATTGAGAGATGAGGAGTTGGAGAGTTTAGAAGAGATGTCTGTTACATACAGTTAAGTTAAGGAAAAAAAGAAAAATCCTTGGGATTTTGGTACTTGCTTTTCTAAGGGAACAAGGATTAGAGGATGCAGCCTTTCTGCTACTTGCTAGTGTGGAGTTTGGTCCAAGAAGATTAATGCATCCTTGTTAGACCCAGAGTCTATCAAAGACTCTAAGGTACAAATTAACTCACGTGACAGTGGGTTTAGATGATTTTTTTTTGCCTTCTGTGTGATAGATCTCCATGGATTTATACCCAATTGCATTACCGTGCAGTGGTGCCTACAGAAAAGGCAATATAAGATGTTATGCAAGAGCAGCAGACTGTGCACCCAGAAAAGATGTGATCTGTGGCAGAAAGCTCCGTCCAGTCCAGCTGTGACAGGCAGCCGAGGGTCCCTGGGTGGTTACAGCACAGCTCCGTGCTTGGCCCTTGAGTACTGGAGGAAAATAAAGCAGGGAATAGGAGAGGAAATTTTAGATGATTCTGTTCCCCTTCTCTCCTCTCAGGCCTCTCGATGCATAGCTACATACTCCCAAAATCCAGTGACTGCCTTGAAAGCTTTTTGTCCTTAATGATGATGCAGAAACCAGACCTGAGGAGTCTCTTTTAATCTGGCATTTTTAACTCAGCAGTCGTTCAAGCCCTTTTGGCATGTCTGGGAGAAAGCCATTCCTATCTGCCTTCCAGAGCTTTTTCTGAGCGATTCTAATATAGAAATAGAGAAATCTTAACTGTGAAAGATAATTGCCCTGAGAAGTATTCTGTTCCCTGCTATAAATTAACATAATTTATCCATGTAGCACAGCCATATGGAGTTAAGTGCTTGGATGCAAAGTCCCAGTCTGCTTGACAGCAAAAGACAGATTACATCTGATTTATTGAAAATATTTTCTCCTGTAGGTTTTACAAGAGAATCTCAGATCTGACCTGTCACTCGGTATAATGAACCGTTGGTGATTTCTGTACAGGTTATAGGAGAATTCCCACAGCCTGCCGCAGCTGCGGAGCCAGCACATTGCTTTCCTTTGCAAAATGATTGGAATTACCTCATTTCCTCCGAAGAAATGAGGTTTGCAGAGCTGAGCATGTGAAATGTAACTCAGCAGCACCAAAAAGAGCTGCTCGTGGTTCGTAGATCTGCTCAGCGCAGGGAATAATGACGGCAGCTTTAAAATAAGCATTTTAAAATAAGCTGCGCTGAGGTGGTCGGTGAGGGGCGAACCCTGCACCCCAGTCCCAAGGGCACCCATGGGTGCCCCAGGCTTGTGTCCAGAGGGTGGGGAGCAGCCAGGATGTCCCGAAATAGCTGGAGGGTGCTGGGGGTGATGCTCGGGGCTAAGGAAATGTTACGGAGATGTGGGGACGGAGATGAAGGGGTAGAAAGGTGAGGGGCAGAGTGGAGAAAGGGCTGAGTGGGAGATGGCGGAGGGAGCCCAGAGCAGAAAAAGGAAAGCGAGGAGGGAAAAATCGTGAAGAGAGAAGGCGAGGGAGGGAGCAGGAGCATGGGGATCACCAGGGGATGAGGGGACAGCGGGGCAGCGCCTGCAGCAGGAGGAGGAGGAGGAGGGAGGCGAGGGGTGAAGCGGGGAAGGGCTGACAGCTGGAAGAGGGCAGGGAGGGAAAGAGAGGGAGGAGACGGGGAGGAGGAAGGTGGCTGCGTGGAGGCGGGATGCAGGCCGGCAGAGGAGGAGGAGGAGGAGGAGGAGGAGAAGGAGGAGCCGGCACCGGGCTTGACAGGAGGAGGGAAGCGGGGATGGAGGCAGCGGCGGCCCCAGCCGGGGAGGAGGGAGCAGAGCCGTGAGGGACGGCCCGGCCCTGCCCTGCCCTGCCTTGCCCTGCCCGCCACACCATGGGCAGCGCCGACTCCAAGCTCAACTTCAGGAAGGCCGTGATCCAGCTCACCACCAAGACCCAGGTGAGGGCCGCCATGTCGCGGGGTGGCTGCGGGGAGGGGAGGGGAGGGGAGGGGGCCGCCATGTCGGGAGCCGCCCCGAGCCCTCCCGGCCGTGACAGCCCCGGTGCTGAGGGCAGGGGTGGCACTGAGGGTGTCACTGGGGGTGGCCGCTATTTCTCCTCAGGGGCTCCCCATCTGCAGGGCTGCGTGCCCTGAGGACAGCGGGCAGCAGCTTGGGCCCACCGCCGGTGGGCTGCAGGGGTGATGCAGGGAGCAGATGGGGGCGAGCAGCCCCCATCCCTCGCCTCGTCTCTCCCCGGGGTGCCGGCTGGGTCGGCAGCAGGCTCACGGCACCCATGGCTTCCCAAAACGGGGAAGGGTGACGTGTGGCTGGGCGCTGCTGGCGACCTCCGACGTGTTGCGCCTCGCAGTGCCTCCCCTGTGGGGTTTATTTATTTCCCCACCCCTTCAAAATACCAATGGAGAATCAATATCAGTGGGGAATCTCGCCCTGTTCCTGGGTAATGCCTAAGGGAAGGGGATGTTGGCCAACCGTGCTGCTAGGACGGCTGTTTTTGCAGGAGAAGCAGCTTCCACCTGTGAGCTGTGAAATAATGCTTTATTTCTGAAGGCTTTGAAGGAACTGAACGAAAGGCAGCCAGGGCCGTGTGTGGAGTGGGGCTGCCTGCAGGTGGGACAGATGTTGTGCATGTCCTGGAGCTGCTTTTATCCTTGTCTGACGTTGGGGTCCAGCGGCAGCACGCTGGCAGAGAAGCAAGAGGCTGCCTTTGTGTCCGAGGGGCAGAGAGGTCTTGTTTTATGGGGAAATAAAACAAGGGTTCCCCTGAGCTGCAACAGAATTGCTGTTCTGAGCTGCCTTCGGTGACGAGGTAATAATGGCAGCTGGGAAAACTTGAGAGGAGATGGAAGAAATAGATGTGAGAATGAGGAGTGAAGTCAGAAGAACGGGGTATGGGTACAGAGGGGTGAAGGGTAAGGGGAGGGAATGTGTGAAAACTCGTGAGGCGAGGACTAGGACTGGGAAACGAATCACAGAAAGTAAGGCTGTGAGAGGCTAAGAAATTAATTGTGTTCGTACTCTAAAGCAGTGCTGGTTCTATCTGCATTGCTCAGGAATGGTTTTCAGGAACGTGTCCTTAAAAACACCGTCTGTTGTGGATGTTCCACAATATCCTCAGGCAGGAAGAGAAGTGGATGAATTAATGTTCAAAGGGATGCTTCCAAAGTCTCTTTTGGATGCCAAAATAGTTCAGAGTGCCTTCAGCATTGGGCTGTCCTCCCTTCGCTGGGGAACACGCTTCTGAAGTGAGACTGGGGGGGAAAAAAATCAAGGCCAGCTTCTCAGTGCCTGTGTTAGCTCAAGGTATCCTCTCTGTCTGCTGCTCACAAAGAAAATCCTGTATGAGGCAATCCTTCATGTTGCCAGCCAAGAGGAGAGCGCTCCCCTCCCCCAGTTTATTGACGTGTGCAAGGAAAGGAGGCTTGCTGGGGCCCTGAATAAGAGGAAGGAGAGAAGGCTTCGTTTTCGACCGGATTCATTTCACAGCTTTGTGGTCTAGGTGAGACTGCCTGCCATGTGGAAAAAGGGTGGGGAATTGGCGCTCCCATATTTACACACCGCAGAAGGGCACTGGTGTTTGCTTGTGCAGGATGCATGACTGGGCTCTCCTGGTGCCTTCCGAGCTTGCACCAGCAGCAACCTCCGTGTCAGCTCCCAGTGCACAGGTCTGGGTTCAAAACCAAGTTGCAGTAACGTATGGAATCGAATCCTCACTTCAAAGCCATTAGCTTAAAATACACTTTGCTTTTTCAGCAGCATGTCTCCTTCCTTGCAGCCTTCTCCTCTTACATTAGGTAGCTGGACGAATAGATTTTCATTAAATCACTGGTAACGTGAAACCATGAGCTTAGTAATGCACTGTGCAGTGTTTCCCAAGGCTTTGATGGAAGGAAGTGGTCCAGCAGAGAGCACTCACTGGCGAAAGTTCAGAGTTTGCACCGAAGGTAGTTTTATCTTAAAAATAAGTTGCTATAATCTTCGGGTTTTCATGAAGTAAGAGTGTTCCCATGTGAACGTTAAAAATAGAAAAAACCTGCAAGTAGCATAATACTTCAATGCTTGTAGCACATGTGGAGCCCAGAACTTGAAAGTCAAATGAAGGATGGACGAAAATGAAACTGACTTCACTGATTTTTAACTCCCAAAGTGCCCGTGAAAGTGCTGTCTGCTTCACGAGGGAAAAGAAGCATGGGCTGTGAGTATAAAAGCTCGTTGGTGGCAGGGCACAGAACTGGAGCCGGGAGCCCCAGCTGCTGTTGGGAAATGTGCTTTCTTTCCTCAGTTCGTTGGAGATTAAATGGTTTCTGCAAGCAACCGACTGGAAGATAAGAAATTTTGATCTTGTGAACTTGCTTGTTAGGTTTAAATGCCAGCTGTGCCTCTGCTTTTAAAGGG